AAGGAAAGAAAGAAACAAACAAAGAAAGAAGGAAAGAAGGAAAGAAAGAAAGAAAGAAGGAAAGAAAGAAAGAAAGAAAGAAAGAAAGAAAGAAAGAATGAAAGAAATAAGGGAAGAAAGGAAGAAAGAAAGAAAAAAAGAAAGGAAGAAAGAAAGAAAGAAAGAAGGGAAGAAAGAAAGAAAGAATGGATTAGTTCAGAAATGGACCAGAAGCTCACACATGTGACAAGAGTGCCACCACAGTGGGATCAGATTGTCCAGACCGGCTATGTTTTGCACTAACTGAGTTTCCAGGCCGTTTTCAAACGCCTTTCTATAGGGCATCCTCATCAACAACAATAACAGCAAATTGCATGCCATCAAGTTCATTTTGTCTTACAGCAGCAACCCTTCCCGGGGTTTTTCTCAGTGTAGAGTACTTAGATGTGGTTTACTGTTCCCTCTTTGTGGGACCGCTCTGGAACCAAGGCTACTTAGGCTGGCTCTTCTCCCGGGACGCCCGATGGGGAAGCAAACTCCTCGAGCCAGGGGCTTTAACTCTTTGAGCTATGCAGCCATCGAAATGGGACTCTGTGAAAATATGGAGATGTGAAGCGAAGCTATATCTATGCAGGAAAGGGGGCAAGGCTGGACAAAAGGCACTCCCAAGGAAAGGTTGGCGGAAGGTACTCTGGGCCACAAGGTTGGAGAAATAAGTACCCCCAAAGCGTAGCCATGATTGTGTAAGTCAGGGGAGGGCAATCTTAGTGAGCTGGGTGGGTGTGGAGCAAATTCCTGTAAACAGACAGGCAAGACAGCCTCCACCAGGTACTTAACTGGCCATTAATCAAAGAAATATGATGTGCACAGATAAGCACTTTCAGTTTCTATTTCTGGTTTGTTTATTTATTTATTTATTTTTGTAGTTTGGAGGAACACCCTCTTATCAGGCTTCTCAGCTGACTTGGGGGGGAGAAAATTGTGTATGTGTGTGTGTTTGACACAACTACGGGAGGCAGTGGAAAATAGGGCCTGGCGTGCTCTGGTCCATGGGGTCACAAAGAGTCGGACACGACTAAACGACGATGACGTGTGTATGTGTGATTTTTGCACAGAGAGTTCTGCGGTAGCATTGGGGCTATAACGTTGGCAATCCTGGTGTAGGAGAAGTTGTTTGTTTGTTTGTTTCATTTTTGTCCCGTCCATCTAGTTGTTTCGACTGCTCTGGGCGGTATACATCAAACACAACAAAACATTAAAATAATATCAATATCCAAAAATAAAATAAATAATCGTTCAAGATTATATCCCCCCCCCCAGAACAGGTTGAATACTTCTCAACTAGGCAGGTAAAATTAATTGTTTGTTTGTTTTTATATGCTCAACTCAGTGAAAGCCTCTACTCTGTAAAATAATAATCACACCCCATTCACTAGCCCTTATCCCACAACACATAAAGTCAAAACAGAGGAACTCCCACCAGTAGTGCCTGCATCTTCATCTGGTTTGTCTTAAGTGTATTGGCTCTCATCTTGCCCATTGCTGTGTCCAACCACTACTGAATTGGAAGATACGCAAGCAGTGCTGGATTTGATCAAAGCAAGAGATAGAGCTGAGCGTCGTCAGCATATTAGTAATGACTCACTCCAGATCCCTGGATGATTTCCTTCATGGTTCATATGGGTGTTAAATTACGTGGGGTACCCCGTGGGACTCCAGAGCACAGTTTGCCAGGCATCCATCAGGGATTCCAGAAGACCTCCTGGAATTGACCACTCGCCAGGACCGACGGTTGCAAAGGAGTGCAGAGAACCTCCAGCTTCGACAGTCAGTCTAGAAGAAGACCGTGGTAAATGTTACTGAAAGCAGCGAGGATCCCTAAGAGAATCGACAGAGGTGCACATCCCTGCCTTTTCTCTCTGCAGAGTTAAGCTCTTAGGGACAATCAAAACCGTTTCAGTTCCAAACGCGGGCCTAAAAGCCGGCTTGAAATGGCAAGTTTTAGTTTGTTATATTGGTTTATATGCTTCATTTTATTATTTTCTGTTTTTTATTGTTTGTTAGTGCTTTGCTGGGCTTACAAGGTAGGGAACATTTATGTAATGGGAACATAAATTAGTGTGGAAGGAGCAGAATATAAACGGTGGAAATAAACAGCTAATGAAAGTTCACACCACGGTTACCTTTCTTATGACTTCACGGCAAGGAAGAGCCAAGTAGTTCTTTTAGAGAATGTTCACACCACGGTTACCTTTCTTATGACTCATCTTCACGGCAAGGAAGAGGCAAGTAGTTCTTTTATAGAACAGGTTCATGTGTGGAACACAGATGAATGGTCAGCTGAGCCATGACCTTTATTTACTGGGTGTTGATGCAGGCACTGCTGTTATGAACATGACAGAACTGTTTTGTAAAACCAACCAGAAAAGTATCTGGTACAAAAATGTTGTCTTGCTTTGAGATGGGCACAAACTGGTGTTTTGTGCCAGTTCATTTATTGACTGAACCAGGTGCTCAGTGCTTCACAGCCCCTCCTCCTCCAGAAGGTGCCCACTCAGAGGCCATGGCCTGGGTCCTCTGCCCCACCTCCTCTGGGCGCCTGCCTCTGAGTGGGCGCCTGCTGGAGGAGGCAGGG